CTTTTTTGTAATTTGGAATTTTTTTTGTTTTATTATTAAACTAGGTTCGATTCCGTGTATTACACGGAGTAATTGAAAAAAATTAAATCAGGTCTGAACTTATCTTATAGATATGAATGATCTTGAAAAATATGATGTTACTTCAAACTTGTACTTTTAAAATAACTCTGAAGTATAACTATAAATAATGACTCCTCAGACTTGAATTTAGAAATGAAACTATATCGATAATTAGTTAAAATAAACTTAACCCTTGAATAAAATTAAATTTAGAAATGAAACTATATCAATATGTTGAACTTAAACTTAGAAGTAAATTTAGAATGACTCTTCAGACTTGTACTCTTAAAAAAACTCTGAAGAATGACTTCAAACTTGTACTCTTGAAATAACTCTGAAGTAAAACTCTTCAGACTTTAGAGCTATATATAGGCAAGCCAGAAGTTCTGCATGCACTATGCAAAGGCTCTGCATAGTGCTTCGCCTGGAAAAGAAGACTTCAGAGTTCGAGTGAGCTAACTCTGAATAATGACTCTTCAGACTTGTACTCTGGAAATAACTCTGAAGTAAAATTCTAAAAAATGACTCTTTAGACTTGTACTCCTGAAATAACTCTGAAGTATAAAACCAATCCGACTAAATTAAAGTTCAGACTTCTAAGTCCGAAAAAATACTTCATAGTTCAGACTTCAGAGTTCGGGTGAGCTAAGTCTAAAAAAAGAAGACTTCAGAGTTTAGGTGAGTTAACTTTGAAGAATGACTCTTCAGACTTGTAGAAGAGTTCAGAGTTCTAAGTCTGAAAAGGAAGACTTCAGACTTCTTTTTCTAAGTCTAAGAAAAGACTTCAGAGTTCAGACTTCTAAGTCTGAAACATAAGACTTCAGACTTTTTTTTCTAAGTCTAAAAAAAACTTCAGAGTTCAAACTTCTAATTCTGAAAAAGAAGACTTCAGAGTTAGACTTCAGAGTTCGGGTGAGCTAAGTCTGAAAAGGCAGACTTCAGAGTTCGGGTGAGCTAACTCTTTAGAATAACTATTCAGGCTTGTACTCTTGAAATAACTCTGAAGTATAACTCTAAAGAATGTCTTCAAACTTGTACTCTTGAAATAACTCTGAAGTAAAACTCTGAATAATGACTTCAGACTCAAATAACTTTGAAGTATAACTCTGAAGAATAACTCTGAAGAATGACTCTTCAGACTTGAATTTAGAAATGAAACTATATCAATAATTAGTTAAAATGAAATTAATCCTAGAATAAAATTAAATTTAGAAATGAAGCTATATCAGTAAATTGAATTTAAACTTAGAAGAACGCCTTTGTCAAATCCGAAGACGAAGTCTGAAGATCTTGAGTTCAGAGTTATTCAACTATCCAATATCTTTGAAAAAGACCCCATGGTAAAGTTTGCATCATATAGAGCAAGACCAACTAGAGCTCCACTGGTCCTTAAAGACTAGAGCCCCTGTGGACTCACCACCCAAAAGCAAGGCCAACCAAAGGCCCTCTACTCAACCAAAGTCCCTCTAGTCATCCAGAGCCTCTAGTTTGTCTATCCAGAGCCTCTAGGTCAAAAAAATGTTAAATACTTACAGAATTTGAGTTCCAATTACAACTAGACACCCACCGGTTAAACATGAAGATCAACCAGAGCCCCTCTAGTTTCTTTACGATGGATTGGAATATTTTTTTCAAGATTCAAATAAATAACCAGAAGCAAAGTCATCCAAATGCCAGACCAACCAGAGGGGCTCTGGCTTACAAGACTAAGTCTAAGTATTAAAGATTTATCTTCAAAGTCTAGATAAGTTTATTACATGACTTGTACTCTTGAAATTACTCTGAAGTAAAACTCTTCAGACTTCAGAGCTCTATATAGGCAAGCCAAAAGCTCTGCATGCACTATGCAGAGGCTCTGCATGGTGCTCCGTCTGGAAAAGAAGACTACAGAGTTTTGGTGAACTAACTCTAAAGAATGACTCTTCAAACTTGTACTCTAGAAATAACTTTGACGAATGACTCTTCAGACTTGTACTCTTGAAATAACTGTGAAGTATAAAATCAATCTCATTAAATCAGAGTTTAGACTTTAGTGTTTGGGTGAGCTAAGTCTGAAAAAGAAGGCTTAAAAATTCGGGTGAGCTAACTCTGAAGAATGACTCTTCAGACTTGTACTCTTCAGAATTGTAGAAGATTTCATAATTCAGACTTCTAAGTGTGAAAAAGAAGACTTCACACTTCTTTTTCTAAGTCTAAAAAAAAGACTATAGAGTTCATACTTCTAAATACGAAAAAGAAGACTTCAAAGTTTAGACTCCAGAGTTCGGGTGAGCTAAGTCTGAAAAAGGAAACCTTAGAGTTTGGGTGAGCTACCTCTGAATAATGATTTCAGACTTGTTCTGTTGAAATAACTCTGAAGTAAAACTTTTCAGTAAATTGAATTTAGAATAAAATGAAGTTAACCGTAGAATAAAATTGAATTTAGAATAAAATAAAGTTAACCCTAGAATAAAATTGAATTTAGAAATGAAACTATATCAGTAAATTGAAGTTAAACTTAGTAGTAAACACCATTTTTTTTTTTAAATCAGTTACCACACGAATTAGTTAACCCAAGAATAAAATCAATTGCATCCTAAATTAGTGGGGATTGATTGAATAAGAGGACACATGTCAATCAAATGAGTATAATTGAACTGTTAATGTTAATTGTGTCTAGATACGTTCAAATAACTCTAATGGAACCACTAATATAAATTGTATCTAGATACGTGTTTAGGAGGGAAAAAAAAAACTATCTCACCAGAAGATGACACGTGTCACCCAAATTACTTATTTATTATAAGTATAGATGTTCATCTTCTCCAAATAAATGATGAAGAGCATCAACAGTATATCACAACATGTTGCAATTTCATTTCAGAAAATTTATCATACAAACATATAATCAAAATCTAAATAAAAAAACATACATTAAACCTAAATAAAATCCTAAATCAAAACAAAGCATGATGAGATATGGGTGAGAACTATGATGATTAGGTGTTAGTTCAAAAAGGTTTCTCAGATATGGGTTAGAATGGTGGGGAGGATACAGACTCGGGTGAGGGCGAGTCTCACACAGGTTAGGGAGGTTGACTTTTGATCGTAAACAAACCATCTCCGACCCCACGACATTTCTTAGGGCATCTCCACACACGATCATAAACAAACCCTCTGTAAGAACGATGCAAACACTCACTCCTTCTCTAGAATATTTCACTTGGGTTTGGGGCTTTATCGGTGGAGGAGAAACATACAAGAAGATGTTGCATTGTGGTGAATTTTTTTTATAAAAAAAGGTATCACATTCATGCAAAGAAAAGTTCATATAAATAATAACAATATAAAAAAGTTATCATATTATGTATAATATGTTTTATCTTTTAATAGAAAAAAAGGAATATAAATGTGATAAAAAGTCTGAAAATATCGATGACTTAACATATTTTTTAACAGTAGTGGGATCATGTTTGATAAAACAAAATCGAGCCCATATTTATAATAAACGAAGTTTAAGGACTTCATTTATAATTTTCTCAATAACATAGGGACCAAGTCCATAATTCACTAGCCATGTAAGCAAATAATAGTGACTTGTATGTCAAGTAATTCGCCATGTCAGCATTGTAACTTGTTAATGGTTAAACCGGCCACCAAGGTACTTAAGGGGCCGTTTATCAAACACTTACTTGATAAGTACTTATCGGTAAAATTTAATGCTATTATTTACTCATCGCGTAAGATTTTAGTTCACCAAAACGACATCGTATGCAACGATTTACCTGGTAAGTGCTTACCGTGGTAAGAGTCGTCGCCTTCACTTACCGGGTAAGATTCATGGTCCTTGTCTCGCTCTTACTAGATAAGATTCTTGATCCTTACCATATTCATCAGGTGAGGTAACATGACTTGGTAAGCACTTACCCGGGTAAGTGTTTGGTAAATGGACCCTAAGTGTTTTAAAGCTTCCATGTCAAGTACCAAAATGAATGTTTTCAAAGTACGCTATCCAAAATAGAAATCAGAACAAAGTATGTTACTTTTCATACAATTTGACCTTTTCTTAATTCCATGAACATTATGCAAAAAATTCAAATACACCTTATGCAATAAAAAGTACTAATTTTTTAAAAATATTTTGTTTGCATTCAACCCCATTTCTACAAACGTACTTTGTATGAAAATACATAAAAACGGATGCATATATACATATATAGGGTTGGGTTCATGTGAGACAAAGTTGTTTTCATGAGTCACGTGAGACGTGATTTTTACACTTGAAACTTCACAACAAAATGTTGTGAATGTAAAAAAAAAAAGCCGAATATTCACAGCAAAAACATTGTAAAGGTTACCATCACAGTGTTTTACTGTGAAGTTTGAAGTGTAAAAATTATGTCTCACGTTTCTCATGAAAACAATCTTATCTCACTGATCCCATGTCTATATATATATATATATATATATATATATATATATATATATAT